TACGCAATGTACATCTGTCCCTCGAGCTGGAACAGGTCAGCCACCGTGAACTGAAATGGATACTCTAAGAGGTACTGCTGCTTGAGATGGAACATGTGTGTTGCAGGTGTCACAGGCATCACAGTTGAACTGCAGGTTACCTTTCATTCCAGGCCAGTTACACTCCTGCAATTGCCCTCTGAAACATGCGGTCAAGTCCCTGGTGACCTGCATGGAGGTTGGCTGCGATCTGATGACGTAGAGCCTCTGGTATCACAAGGTGGACAGCTCCCTGGTCAAAGTTGTATGTCACCAAAACCTGCCAAAAGCAGCCAGCCTGTCTTATGTTTGTAGAACTGATGCAGACAAGCCATTTTCTGAGCATGATGTTGGTGCCAATCACTTGCAGACATCTTGGCTATTAGCAGCTGATACTCTGGGTCCTTGGAGGCAACGTGCTGCACTGCAGTGTGGTCAAGCGTGACGCGGTCGTACCCAAAAAGTGTGGTAGTGGTTGCAGCAGCCACGGTGACCTCCAGGTCATCTGTTTGGTCCTTATCTGCGGCATCAGGCAGCGCACAGAGCACTGGGTAGTGGGACAGAAAGTCAGCTACATACTTATGCTTGCCTTGTAGATATTTTACTTGAAACCTATATTGTAACGTTTTTTCTTTGAGGGCGAAAAGCCGGGGTTTACAATGTCTTTCAATGCTCTGTCTCCCAAAAGTTTAACCAGCGGCCGGTGGTCAGTAATAATGACAAGGTTTGAGCAGCCAAGCAGGAACAGCCATGCCTTGCGAAGACACCAAGCCACTGCCAGGGCCTTACCCTCCACTGGAGCATAACTTGTCTCAGCAGGTGTCAGATGGTGGCTGCTACACAGTGCGAGGCGCCGACCGCTCTTGCATTAAAATGGGGCATCCCTTGCTGGGCAGTCACAGTATTGCTGCAGGATAATGAACACTATGCCCACTTTACTCTGGTCTGTAATGGCAATGGTGGGTCGCCCCTTGTCTTAGAAGGTCAGGCCATCCTTAGCCACCTGGCATATCATGTCCTTTACTCGTAGGAATTTCACATGAAGCTGTGAGTCCCAGTATACCCGCTTGCCTTGTGGTTTCTGCAGCAACTCCCTGAAGGGCTCCATAATTGGTGCTGTAGCTAAAAATGGTGCTAGTTGGTTGACAAATCCATACCACGAGCGAATGTCAATCAGCAAAGGCGTCTCCGGCATGCTGAAATTCCTAATTACTGCAAGATGTTCATCAGTGGGCTTATAAGAGTCCCAGCCTATATGGAATCCCACAAAGTCAAGTTCCCTCCTGCAGAACTTGAATTTCTCCAGCTTCAGGGTGATGCCCTTCATGGCACACATCTCTAGGAACTGGTGTGCGTGCCAGAAGGCGTCCTCCACATTATAGTCGTTGATCACAGTGTCGTCAACACACTTCAGTTTCCTCTGGATTCCCGCGATGGCCTCATCATATCTCCTGGTGTATGCATCTGGGGCTGCACAGTGACCCATCGGCGTCCTATGGTAATGGTAACGGCCCCAGGGGGTAATAAATGTGATAAGCTTCCTATTGGCCTCCTCCAGTTCCACCTGATGAAAGCTCCAGTGAGCATCAGCTGATGTCTTGTAGACATGATGGGGAATACCATATACCATGTCAAATGGAGTTGGGGTATGGTGAGTCTCCCTCGGGCAGGAGCTGTTGAGCTTTTGATAGTCGATGGTGCGCAGTGACTGGCCTGTTTTCTTTGTGACTACCACCATCCTTGCGCACCACTCCGTTGCTTCTCCGACTGGCACTGGCTCAATAACTCCTTTCCTCATGTCCTCATCGAATTGCCTCTTCACCTCCACCTCCCAGTGTGTGATACGCATAGGGTTTTGCATCTTCCACCAAGTGGATTTGATGAGGTCTGCCAGCCATCACAGGCAATGGGTGTCGGCTGGTGTTGAAAATTGATCCTGAGAAATGCTGGAGGAGCCAGTCCTCCAACTGTGGTACACTTTCTTCCAGTGGCAGAGATGGTACCTTCTTTGGTCTCTGTGGGAAGTCGCCTATATACTCCACCTGGGTAAAGTCACTGTCTGTGGTAATGGGCGCTGTAATGGGAGGCTGGTGAGGGAAGTTACTGTGGACCAGCCCCAGTTATTTGCACGCCTCTAGTGAGATATAGCAGTGGCTGGCCGTCTCAACAAAGAAGACCTGCTGAGTTGTTGAGCAGCCATCATACTGAATTTGGCATGTGGCTGAGCCAAGGGGCTTCAGCAACACCTCCGCTACATCACGCAGGCTCTTGCATCGTGTCAACAGTGCTGGCTTGATTCCGAGGGCAGCTGCTAGTTTTGGTCCTTCCACACATACCTGTGCTCCAGTGTCAGGCACCACCTGTGTAGGAGTAAGTTAACAAAAGCCTCTTGTGTGGCACACAGTCACCATAATTTCTTGTTGAGCAGGTGCCTTACTTGTACTAGCAACCACAATGCCCGAGGCTTCAACATCCTCTGCTGTTACTGTGCGCTTCCCTTTACCCCTGCACATTTTTTTCAGGTGTCCAACCTTTCCACATCAACGGCAGGCAAGCAGGGCACGCTGTCTTCCCTGGTGAGTGAGTGCCGCTGCAGTTACTGCAAAGGTGGGGTTTATTTAGGTGGCGAGTGCCTGCAGGCAGCTGCAGGTCACTGTCCTGTGGTATGGCGCCGGCTACCACCATACATACACAGTCGTTTCCGCCAAAATTGTTGGAATTTCTTTGAGTTGCCTCAAATGCCATGCAGTGTTCATGTAGTGAATCCACATCACTGAAAGATGTACACATACGAAACACTTTCTCTTTCAGTGACACACTGCACAAGCCTGACATCAACTTCCGAAAGAGTACAGAATCTCTGATAGATTACCATCACATTGAGGGCACTGAAATTCATAATCTGCAACACCCTGAGCTGAACGCATAAATTGGTCACTTACAGGTTCGCTAGGAAGTTAGTTAAGGGCGAAGAATATGCATCAAGTAGTTGCTTGGTTGGTTGTTTGATGAGTGATGCGACCAATGATGTTCAGAGCCTCTTCAGTAGACAGTGCCTGCCACTCTGCCATCGTCAACCGGGTCCAGGCGGCTGGCATACGGTAGAGGCGTATGTGCAGCACTGCCTGTGGTTGCAACAAACCACTAAGCCCCAACCAGCCCTCCAGGATCTGAATGCTACTACAGACATCAATGCCTCACACTTCTCCAGGGCTACAGGTGCAGGGGTCTGAGGCGTCTTTTGTTGCACTGCCGGCTGCGGTACCAGCTGCCGCTGTAAGGAGGCGATGGCTGCACCTTGAGCCATTAGCAGCTGCTGAACTTGCTCTAATGCTACTGGCGTATGTGTTGTCCAGCGTTGTGGTGTTTGAGTGGCAAGGCGAAGGCGACATGATGCCATGGTAGGTGTGTAGAAATACACCAATCATTGTGATCCCCATTTTGACTTTCACGCGGTGGGGCACTGTTGACGTAGCCCAACATATCGTACAATGGTGCAGATCAGTAACCAGAAAACGACGTTTGTAGTGTCCTAACACTACAATGCCCACATTTCCATTCTGACAGAACTAAACTAATAGAGTAAGCTCTTAGACACTTGCATGTCCAATAACTTTGTTATTATTGAGTTGCAGTTAAAGTTCATAAAATATAACTTCCTTAGAATCACTCTCTCTATCATTTGCATATATAATTTGATGTCTAAAAGATGGCTGGCGGAAATTTTACCTGTATCACCAATAAAGGCACTAAAAAAATCAAAATTACTAATCCTAATATCTCTTTACTCATTACAGGATATAATCATCCATCAGGTAAAAAGTACTACAATTTAAGACATATGAAGATCTTCTTACAAAGAACAAGAATAGTGAACATCATATAAACCAGAGAACATAACAAGAATTAACAAAAGAAAGCAAAAGCAATCAAAAGATGGAAGATCTCAAGAATCAAGTTTCAGGGAAAATAGACAATAAGTCTAAAACCCTGTAAAAGAAGAAAAAAAGCTGAATAAATTCAATGATTGGCAATGATAACCACACAGTCTGCTTGGAAATTGCCTAAGAAGGAAGTGACATCAGAATCAAGCACTTTAAATTCAAAACTCTTTTTCCTCTTGTGCCACTCAAGCTATTTATTACCAATAAGCGAAGAAATGAAGTGCCAAGTAATTCATTTGAAGTTACATGTAGACTTGATCCAAAAATCTGAAAGAACAAAACAATATAATACAGATAAATAAAAGAATATTTACTTGTCATGATCTTTGTGTGACCCTCCAGATGAAACCAATGCCTGCAGCTGCTGACGAATTTGCACAGCAAAGGCCATTTTATAGTTGTTTCAAAGATTACGGCGCCTGTCGCCTCCCGAGCGTGTCACTCACCGAGCCCAAAACATACGGTGAAACTAATGCCCAGTATTCTTTATTTTCTTGTACGGAAAAAATACTCCTTCTCTATTCCTACGAACCTTTGAATTGAGATAAATTATTTTAGAAACGTCCAAGCGCCGATTTATTTATCACCTACATGTATATGAATTTCCGTAAAAATAACGCACATTACATCAAAACATAAACATGGCTGCCGATAACTATAGTCTACGACTAAAAATTTTTCTCATGTTCTATGAAGGCAGCAATGGATAAATATACTGAAATACCTACTTTTATAAATTTAATAATAAAAAATATACAAAATATTTGAAAGTTTTAGAGTTTAACTTTTTAATATTTATAGTATACTGTTTGTTATGGCGACAAAGTCCCGTGACTTCGAATAAATTCAATATGAAAATTCTGGGTCGCCTTAAATTTCTCCTGTCGCATGATTAAACTCTGTTTTACGCAAAGAAACCAATGCTTGAAAAAGTGCTCTTGCTGTCCATGAAGGATATAGGAAACGAGAGTTACGAAAAAAGGTTTTATTTTGGCATTTTGTTTGGCGGAAGTGCACGGCTTGAATGGCCATGGCGGGAGAGGAATGCATTGTGCCAGCCCGGTGCGCTCTTCCTCCCTCGCAAATGAATGATGGCTAATGGTCCTTGCTCATCCAAATCTAACCCTTCTTGTGGGCGTGCGAGGTGCATTTGCGAGCGGTAGCAAGGGCGCAGTGTGGGCGGCGAGGCGTGGGGCGGGCGCGGAGCCGCAGACGTGGCAACGGCGCGCGCTACGCAGCCAGAGAGCAGCGAGGGATCGTAATGGTGGGCGCGTGAGTTTGAACGCCCTCGGAATGCCACACAATAACCCTGGTAAGTCACCCTAAACGAGTTGCGAGGAGAGCCCTAAGGGTGTGTTCCGGGAAGTTAAGGTGTGGTTGAGGAGGACGGCGGCCGTGGCGGGGGCGTGAGTTAGAAGAAATGATAATTGTTGGGGAGGTGAAGGATCCCCTCTCATGTAAACACGACCGAAAATAGCGATAATCAATGAAAACAAACCTCGAAATCATCTTATTTTTAGCCCGTGGACCCACTTTATCTCATCTGCCGCCAAGCGGGACTAACCATTCATCGTAAGCCACGGTCATGTATGGCCAAAAAGGTAAATATGAGCAGAGTCTGAGAGAAAATAAGGGTGATATGTGGCCGGGTGTCCTCGAGAAGGCGATGGGGGCGCGTCTTCTGACTTGGACGAAGGACGCGAGCAATGAAGGAGAATTTTGTTAAGTCCTTGGGCGGTAAAGGACTCGAGTCACCCTTCCCTGATGATTCCCCTGGGCGAGTCTCCACTCCGGGAGGGGCTGGGGAAGGGTTTCCTGGCCCTGGTGTCGTGGGTGGGGGCGCTTGGCCTTCACTGATAGCTGGGCTTTAATCTCTGCTTGGGACCTCATTGTGGGGCTCTTGCCAAGGATTAGGCTTTCCTGTGGCTTTGGTGAGGCTGGGCTGCTTTGTGGGGCAGGTTTGGGAGGCTGTCAAGGAGGATGTTGGCTGTGTCACTGCTTTTATGTCAAAGGGGAGGAGGAAGGAACTTCAGGCTGAATTTGATACTTTCAAAATTTTTTGGACGAAATGCAAGATTTTTAGATGTGAAAGTCTCACCTTTTCATCACTTACTAATGAATAACTATTATAAATTCTTTGGTAAATTAGTTATGATTGTTGAAAGGGGTCAAAGAAAAATTAACATGAATGGTTATGGTTTAAGTCTTTAACAATTATATATTTAAAAAGATTGATTAATAAAAATTTTGCGCCCATTATATATTATTTAGAAGAATGTAAAACAGAGATTCCTACTCTATTATACTCTTACTTGGCATTCAAAAGTCCCAAGATTATGAACAGTTATAATAAAAAAAAACAATGTACATGTATTTATGCGCAGGACTAGATTCACCCTTTGATGCCAGGATGTCATGTATAACTGCTATGTCCACTGTGATTTAAGCTTTATTGATTTTGTTTATGCATGGGTGACTACAAGTACTTAGTCACCAAGGAGTTGGTAACTAGGCCTGCCTGATTTAATATGTTCATGCAATTAGTTTCATTTTTAGAAAGAATTTTTTTTCTATTATTGATCCTAGTGTTGTTAACTTGTTGAATGTGAATGCCTCGTGGTAAGAGAATGGACCAAAGTCCGGATATTAGACTTCCTTGCTATTAGCCCTTTTTCTTGCAAATACAGTTTTGCCATAGTCCTAGGTCTCTTTTTGTCCTTTTTTTAATACTGTATTAAGATGATAATAGACTATTTTTGTTGAGCAGGCATCATATTATATTTCTGGGTTATTATTATTATTTTTTTTTTTCTCCCTTTCTTTCCATGATGAGGTGTTCCCATCACTCCCCTCAGCTAATTTTTTTTGTGATAAGATTTCCACATCATCTTGAGCCAACTGGTTGATAACAATATAATGATGATAATGTCAGTAATGATAGTCCAAATCATTGCGTTGATAATTGTAATAACGGCTTTGAAAATTCTTCTGAGAATTCAAGGCATGTGAAACATAGCTGACCCTTTGGTGACTAAGTTACTTTGTGAAGCCATCTCTGTGTAAACCAAAATGACAAGACAAAACTGCAGTGGACCTTGCATGTTCCTGGTGCAAATGGGTCAGGAAATAGGAACCTGTAATACTGTTAGAGCAGCCTGGTTATTGCCCTTCAGTATTTATCAGGTGCCTGATAATATAACACCTATAAAGTCTAGTTGATTAGGTGTAACAAAATAGAGCACAAATACTAAATATTTGCTGCTCTTAGAATATGTTGCTGGATCCTTTCAATGAAGCCATTATTCCTTGCAGTTTGATAGCTACAGCAGTGGTACCAGGTTTCCTTGGTGCTCTGAGTGTTTGCATGTTTTGTTTTATGGTTAATCCAGGGCTTTATAGAAAATGTTCTGGTAGTGGGCAAGATAGGCGTTTTAATTCTCTGAATACAAATATTCTCTTAGCATATATATTCCTTTATATTTTTTCTTCTCTCTAAAGTAGTAGAGCTTGCAAAGAAAAGAGAGAAAGGTATAGAGTTCCTCACTTTACTTATCACTTGACTGTAGTCTGTATAGGCATGTCAGCAAATTATCACAGGCAGAGGCATGTGCTATCTTACTTTTGTTTTTTCCTGTTATTAACCTGTTTGCATTGTCAGACATAAGTTGTTGGCTGTATTCATGCATTTAGTTTATAGTATATTTGTACTTGTTACCCCAAAATTTTAGTAAGTAAATAAGTTATGGACATAGATAAGACATACTTTAGACTATTGTAGGGGCATTCTCTTACCTTGTGTAGCAATTGTAACAACTTTTGGCATGCTGTCTCTTCACAAATGACAAATGCAAACTGGCAAAATGACGTTGGAGTTCCCTGGCCCTGTTTCTTCTATGACACACACATCTTGAGTGTTAAGGACATTGTGGCAAGAGAAAGTAAATTTCCTGTGTTAAGTTTATGCTTTAGCAGGGAAAGAGAATATCCAATTTAATTAAATTGGACAAAATAGGATAAATTAAAGATATTTGTAGAGGACTAAAAGTTGCAGTTGTTGGTACAAGAAATAATCTGCAGACACAAAAAGTAATGCCTCAAATAAAGAAAAAATATCCCAGAAAGCACCGCTCACAACCACTAGGGTGCACTGGGTCCTGCCAAGTTTCAGCCCTATCTAGCCATGCAAACCGAGGCAAAAGCAATGTTTCTCAGGGGGTATTCCACCAATCCTCACCTCAGACACCCAATCACAGCAACATAGATTGTTGAATAAATTTTTTGACTTGGAGTTGGGGACACTATGACATACTTGTCTCTGGCAAGTGTGTCCTACTGTATAGAATTACCATTAAATTTTGTGCTGAGGAATCACTGTAAAACCATGATAGAGTTCAGTACACTCACACAACAGTTTTACAGACCTCCATTTGATGGATATTGGAAACAATGAACAAGATCTTGAGCAGCTAACACAGTCTGTTAATCCGTTGCACTAGTGGGGCCATCATTTTGTTGGAGTAGCTCATTACTTTGTTTTACCCCCATTATTTATTTATTTGTTTATGTATTTATTTATTTATTTTTTTTCTTAATGTATCAATTTATTATTTAACATCCATCTGATTTAGAGGACAAGTTGAAAAGTGGAAAAGGGTGAATTTAACAGTTGCATAAAAGCTTAGATTGATCAGAAAGTTAGTATGGTGTGTCTGTGAAGGGATATGTGTGTCTCTTAAAGAAAAAAAAAGAGATTTCAAGTATTATTGCTTAATTAGTACTTTATTATTGCTCCTTTGGTTGCCACTACAGACTTAACCTGTTTGATCTAGTATCTCTCATCTAATACTGTTTCTACTTCTCTCTCTCTATATTTCTCCTCCCTCTTAACATACATTCAAGTGCGTGCCTGCCCACACGCAGTTTGTGCCTGACTCGTTTGGTAGTTGGCGAGCAACATTAGTCACCTAAAAGCTTATGCATGATTTTAAATAACTATAAAAAAATTTAAGGTTTACCTTCACTTTAGGTGCTCATGACTAAAAGTTTTCCCATAGAAATGATACTGCTACTATCAGAGAAAACAAGCTCCATTCAATGAGCTGACAACATGGGAAAGGTTGTGATATGATGCCACCCACTTTTTTGTCCACAACAGCCATGACATGTATGTACAAGCCATCCAGTGGCATTGGTTTAATGCTGTACTGGTAATATTGCAAATAATGAACATAGAGGTAACATTAGTAGAGACAGTGATAAGAAGAAAAATGATAAAAAACTCGTTCACCAAAAATTAAGGAATTGGAGTAAACAGTTGAGATCAGGCAGGCCTAGTAAGTGACTCCATGGTGACAAAGTAATGTAAAACCATCTTTGATAAAACAAAACCACATGTACCCAGCACCTATAGGTTGAAACACCATATTTCTCTCAGCAACATTTAAAAATATTTATATATTTTTGACAAAAGTGTTATTCCAAAGTAAACATTAGCCATTTGAGAATGACTGGTAATAGGAAAGTAAAAAGGAAAATTATGCATTTTATTCAGGGTTTAGATGTCATTGTTTCTCACGTGATATTCCATGTCTCTACACTCTTGGAGAAGCCCTCTACTGCTAAAGGTGAAAATCAGATACATACATTTTTTTCTTGGCTCTTTAACTTCAGTTACTCCTGTCCTCTATTACTGCCTCTTTCCTTTCTCACACTTTCTTTTCTCTTCCTTTATCCATTTCTTCTTCCTCCCCACTCCTTAGGCCTTGTTGGACGTACATGATCAGTGGATATCTTGGCTTAGGCTTTGTAGGTAAAGAGAACTTACATTGCCAATTTGATTTGGTTTTAGTAGATCAAAGGCTTCTTGATTGCAGGTTAACAAAAGGTTTTACCACTGTAGGATCCACAAAATTGTGGAAAGTGGTTAAAGAAGTTTGATCTGTTTGGTGGCAGTTTTGAAAAATGGGTTTAGTGCTTAAGCAGAGGAAGACTATCATTGAGGTCAGAGGATGATGGTCCTATAATTCTTTAGGAATCCAGTAGAAAAACATGCATTTTTGGATGAGGCAGTCAAGAGAAAGGAGAGGAGATGAGTAAAAATGGTAATTTGAATAAGAGGAATAGAAAAGAACATACACTCAATGTATGCATATGTTGTTAACTTTGTATCTCTATACAATTAGGTGACTGTGTCTGAGATAAAAATCAATTTACGTCGTTGGTAGCAGTTTAATTTTTTGGAAATGATTGTCTGTTGTCTGTCCCTCCCTTCATCCCTCCCTCCACATTACTTGAAAGTCACATTACAGGTTGCACCCTGACTGGTATTATGCTTCCAGGGGAAGCACTGATGTCTGTCAAACAGCATTTGCCTGATTTGTTAACCAGTAGATTATAGAGAGTTAATGCTAAATTTTTAATCAGTTGTCAAGAGGGGAGTGTGTTTTATTGTTATATATTATGATGGTTGCTATTATCTCTTTATTTAAAAAACACCTCACATAAAAATCTTTTACAGTAGTGTTTCAGGAATGTTTTAAGTATTCAAAAACCTATATTAAAGTCTTGTTAACCCACTTCTATGGGATGTGCTATGCCCACTGTGAGAGTATTAATTGGTTTTACACATGGATGACTCCACAAGTACTAAGTCACGAATAAGCCAATTATATGTGGGTACTACCTATCTCACTTGTTTTACCCTTTTCCTTGATTTTTGGAAAAAAAAATTGGTATCTTATATTATTGTTAGTAATGTAAATGATACTCTAATAACTATAATGTCCATGATGATGATAACAGTATTGATATAGATAGCATTAGTAAAAAGACCATTTTTCCCACAAACTCACAGAAAGTTAAAATCATGTGAGGTCACAAGGTCTTTTTTTTTTTTTTTTTTTTTTTTTTTTTTTTTTTTTTTTTTGTAACAAAGTACTTGCAGAGCCTTCTGTGTTCAGAGACAGTCCACTAAACTATACTACAGGGAAAACTATTTTCCCAGTGACTTTTTTTTTCTTTCTTTTTTTTCAGATTTCAAAAGAATGGTATATTTGTAAACAAACAAACAAACAAAATAAAGAAATTTGCATTTTTTGCAAGAAGAGAAAATAGAGATGAATAGATAAATAAAATTAGAATAGTCAAGTAAGTAGAAAGATAAATTTGCAAATAAATTAAAACTCTCCTGCCTCAGTAATTCCAAAAATGTGACATGGACAAGGTTAGAAGCAGAAAAAGTAATGCATGTAAATCTATTCATGCATGTACGTTGCAATATCCATATATCACACAAAAAAAATCTGTGCTTGCAGAATTGATAGGAACATCTAATTTTATCAAAGTTTGACACTTGAAGCTGGGAACCTGTCAGAATACACAAGGCATAAAAAGGAACAAAAAGGTGGAAAGCCTTGCTCAAGAGCAACATCATGCTCAAGTACAGGCTTTGTAGAGCTGCAGTCTCATGAGCATTAGCCAATAACGTCTTGTGGCTCAAATATCAATGCATGTTGATTAGCTTCAAGAACAAGTTGCACATGCACATTATTACTATTGCAGAATTTTTATATTATACTTATTATATTCTTCTTCTTTACCTGAAGTCGGATTGGACTATGGCCATGACTGTCTCACGGTTCAAAACGCTTTCAAATGTATTGAGACAACACTTTTCTGCCAGGTGGCATGTGTGCACGTGCCATATCTGTTATGGAAAAAGTAGTGGCTGGCATTACATCACAACCATTCCCATGCCATTTGCTTATCAAACTTTTTTTTCAGATAGTAGTGGCATCACTTGTATTGTGAAACAAAAGTGCCTAATGTGAAGGTAAACCTTCACTTTTACCTTCACAAGCAGTGCCAATGCGTGCCCTGTGTTAATGGCCCACTTGCCAAATTTTTAACCCGTTGTTGATCAGCATGTCCTCACATACTTTGCCTTGTTAGTTACATTTCTAAATGATTTATAATTTGTATATTGGTGAAATAAATGTTATAGATATATATAATGCCTGTAGCATGTTGTTTATAGAATTATGTTCCTTTTTGCTGTAGTAATATTGTATGAAATCATTTATATGTACCATACATTACAATATTGAGCTGCAACAGTTAATCTACAGCCTAAAATTCCTGGTAGAAAACATGTTAAGCTGTAAACATTTGCAGCAGTAGCACTGGACCTCTGTTGCCTAATGATAAACATATCTACATGTGTACAAATTTTTCTAAACATAACCACACCTTGAATTATCAGATGGCTATTTACTGTAATTGAAGAAGACATTATGATTTCTGATCCTTTACAACTTCAAAGATGTTTTGTATAAATCTTTGTAGAATTCCTGGTATCCAATTCCATTACATTTATCAATAAATCATTGATTTTCTTGAAAAATGTGTAACTTCTTTGTTTTAGATAACATCTCCTTTCTTGATTGCAGATAAAGATGTGGGTGAGGGAGGCAATACAGTGTTCATTGATGCATCAGCCTTGGGAGAGCTGTCGAGCCAGCTGACACAGCAGGATCTGGAGACTCTAGTTGGCTTCAACATCCAGCCTGCAGACCTTGAGGCTCTCCATGAAGCAACGGAAGCACATGTTAGTTTGTAATATTTCTGTATTTTTTCTTTTGATAAGTAGGGTTTGGATGGTTTCAGTATAATGATTGAAAAGGTTTAAAGATTATCACTTTCCAGATGATGATTATTATTGAAGTTGTTAATATAGTGCAGATTTTGCTATACTCGAGACAGGTTTAAACATGATTATATTGCAAATTGTGGCTGTATCTACTTTCTTTTATGAAATAATGCAACCTGCAACTGTAGAAAATCTTAGATGCAATTATAGCTATTTATCTAACTACAAGTTAGGCTGCATTGTCAATTGCTTTAATTTTCATTCAATACTTCTGCCATTTCTAATTCAAGGATATCCTTAAGATTTTTTTTTTCATTGTCTTTTTTTTCTAATTGCCAAAGTCCATTGTGAATACAAAGTTTGGCATACTTCTAATGATTTGTTTGCTATCCATAGGTTGTAGACACAAGTGGCGTGCTCATATCAGATGGAGTGGCTGTGGGAAATATTGTGGAGGTGGCTGGAGGTGGAGTGGATGATCCACAACAGCTGGATGCTCACACTCACCACCAAGCACACCACCAGCCGATGGAAGTGGATGCACTCTCGGAGCACACACAAGTTATTGGTGAGTTGGGATAGGCTTTTGCCACTCTTTTTAGAATGTGTATTCTTCGGATTGTACAGCTAATATGAATTGCCTTATTTTTAGCAGTGACGCACATTATGGTAACCTTATTCATAGGATGCATAAGTATATATATACTCAAGCACTTCCACACCTACATTTAAATGTACATATATGTTTAGAAAATATTTTCATGTTTGTTGTCTTTGCCTTTTTCTCTACCATCCTTTTGTGATTTTTAAAATTCTCATCTGCATATTGAAGTTTCTCAACCATTACTGATATTTGTCTGTGACACAGCCCAATATATTTATATAGGATGGCTTTGATATGTGATTTTAAGAAAGTGTCATAACAACAGGTGACATGGACATGCTGCAGCAAGGAGGAGAGCTGATTACTATGACAGGGGAAGAGTTGTCAGCTGGTGGGGAGTCGGGTACTGCAGCCTTGCTAGCTTCTGCTTCTACAGGCGGAGATACTACAACCCACCAGATTGTCACAGAGACCCCACAGGTTATCAAGAGCAGCCTTGGCCAGTTTGTGGTGCTTCAACAAAATCAGGTTTGTCTAGAAACTATATATATGCATGATTTTAACAAGATACAAACAAATGTACAAGAACACTGCTTCCCAACCAGTGGGTCACAACCGAGAAGAAAAAAAAGTCCAATTTGCTAGGCATTCGTCAGTGTTCAAATTTAGAATAAAGCTATCTCCTGAGGAGACATCCTGCTGATTGGGGTCATATTCAGGTAGTTGAACCAAGTGTCTTTATTCTAAGTTGGTGGGCCCGCATTGTGCAAGTAACAAGTCTTACACCAATCTCATGGTGCAGTCATTGGATAGGCACATGGTTTGCCAACTGTGCCCCATGATCTGTTTCAAGGACTTCTTGTACAAGCATGATTGAGATTGAGTTTCACTATCTAACAGCAGAGTCGATGATATCATGGTACATATCTGTATCATGTCCAGTAATGTAACTTGGAATGCAGATGCTAGGGGCCAGAAATCTGGTCTCATGTTGTTGTTGTTATTTTTTTTTTTTATTATTATTATTATTATTATTATTATTATTATTAGGAATATTGTTGATCATACTTGTTTGAATTGTCTCTTTCTTTTTGCGCTACAGAATTCACTCTCTTTGGGTTCAATGAACAACCGCATCATAACATCTGGAGGACAAGTAGTGACAACTATGTCTGGCCTTGGGAACAGCAACAGCAACAAACCAGTTGTAGTTAATGCAGCACAGTTAGGTGGTGCTCTTAGACAACAGATAGTGGTGACACAGCCAGCTACTGTCCCACAGCAAGTCCGCGCCGTCCAGGTCAAACAGCCTCAGCAGACGCAGTCACACAATAGTGGAGTAAGTAATAATGATAACGATAATTGTAAAAGAAAATCTGTTCCGTAATTTTCAAAATTTGTTGCAGTTCTTTTTTGGGAGAAATACTATACAGTGCATTACAAATAAGAAAGTAGAATAATTTTCTCCAAAATGTTTTTCTTGTATAATTACATTTTTATCTACAGAATATTAGGATGAAATTTATAGAAAAAGAATGAGGAATATATTTTACGTTTGTTCTAAAATAATTATTTGAAGGTTTTTGAATGAACAGTAAGAATGTTTTTTCGTTTTGTTAACCCATAAATGCCGGTATATTTTGAAGCCAAAAATAAAAGATTCCTGGCAGCTACAAAATCGGCGGGCGGAGCTTCCCCGGAGTCTGTCTGACTGCCAGCCATGGCCCGCTGCTGCGTCGGAGCGTGAGCCCCGATACAGCGTTACACTGGCGGGACGCCCGGCAATGTTTATTTTTTTGGGTGTCTCATATGTGGGACACCCGTCGTGAATGGGTTAAAAGACTTAGATAACATTGTGAAAAAAAAGAGACAAAGCAAACTGATACTGATCACTAAGGGGTGAAGTTGCTGTATATTAGGGAAATATTGACTTGAACTATCAGCAAATGCTGTTTGGTAATTGTATTTTGGTATCTGCAATTTTTCCATTTCTTTTCTTTGCTGTTTGAAAGTATGTGGGTAAAAAAAACTTGACAACTCTTGATAAAGTATTAGATTATATGGTTTATAATTCTTTGAAATAATCTTCAACAGACTGTTACTAAGGTGATCATCACAAGTCAGGCTGGAGGCAGCTTGGGCAGCCTCGGAGGACAGCAGGTCCGCCTTGTCACCAGTCAAAGTGGCACAGGTGGAAGCACCCAGATGGTGCCATCTCCCACCAAATTTACACTCCAGCAAGCACAACAAATGGGACTCATTTCACCTTCAAAAACAGTGAGCCAGTCTCCAAACAAGGTAAGTAGAGAGTGTGCCTTGTTTATCCAATTTCCAAGCTTACTCAAGCCTTTGATGTCAGTTATTACATTTCCCAGAATTTGCTATAATGCTTTCTTGCTTTTTTCATAAGCAGGAATATCTTGAATACTAAACTTTTGATGTTATTTTTCTTGATGTTATTTTCCTTGTTATCCATCTCATTTTGTTTGTTATGAGACAGAAATGACCGGGAGGCTTCTGGTTGATATGCAGGATCCTGAAAGTACCTACAGTTTTTTGCTTTGAGTACATAAACACTCAAAACTGTGATGCCATGATAGATAGTATCATTTCATTGCATATTTAGTACTAATTACAGCATTTTGAAAAATTAATGTTTAAAAGGATGATGTTCTAAGTATAATTATTCACTGTCATGGCTTCTTGGAGTCTGCTCTTTGTGTATGCTGTTGGACAGGAAGTAATACTAAGAAAAACCTTACTTGATAAATATGAAGCAGATGTTTTTTTTTTTTTTTTTATTCACTGTCATGGCTTCTTTGAGTTCATAATTTTTTATTGTTGGGAAGGAAGTAAGACAGAAATATCTTGCATTATTGATATCATAAAGCAATTCTTATTTCTTCTATTTCTTTTACTACTTTAAATCTATTGAAATGTATAAATTTACCCACCATCTGGTCAACTTTCTCTAGATTACAGAATTATTATATTACAAATCTATTATCCATTGGCAGATAAAGAGGTTAGATGAAAACAGTCCATTGTTTAGAAAGAAAAGATGATAAAAGCAAATTAATTTCTCCTTATATCAGTCACAGATTCTAATGAATCCCAGATTCATTTCATGTAACCTTTTGTAATGCTAAAAAAATGTTTTCCCATTCAAAAGATAGTTTCATTTATATTTAATTTTTTTCATATTGTGTTTTTCATGATATATTATTTTCTTCATGGTAGTTCTTGTAAAGAATATTTGTAATATATCAGTAGGTTTATTTATTAGTAAATAGTGATGAAGTTGAAGAGTTTGGAGTGTTGCCACAATCTTCACTGAACATATGAAATTTTTTTGTAGATTGTAAGTTCTTAAAGAAGTAGCTGAAATGGAAAAGTTTTTACTTTTTATTGTGAAGGATTGGGTGTTTATGATTAAGTTACTGTGATAGTATATGATATTTAATTTCTTTCTTCACTTTGCATATTGTTTATTGAATGATTATGATGTTATAAATTTCTTTGTATGTATGATTTTTTTTATTATGGAAACTATAGATTATATATAAAATCAAATGCTAAATTAGGGTCAGAACTAGTGATGTTTCATTTTTCTTGAATGTCATTTGAAGCATTATTAACCCCTGGGATATATGACAGAGGATCGTACAGCTGATGAACCTATGGGTGCTTTGATTGGGTATTATAGTAAACTCTAAGGCTGACTTGCATTTGGCAGATTGTTGTCCAGCGTGTCAATATGGGGAGTTCTTCTCCCCTGAAATCCCCAAGTAAGTTGGTGATACCTGTCTCCATGGCCATGAAGTCTCCCACCAAAATCGCCCCTGCTCCTCCCTCCGGACAACAGCAGGTGCGTTGCAGTTGAGAAGTTGGTGAGGGGACAGTCAGCTGTGAGCAGTGCGATTGCTACTGAAGGGATCTAGGCTCATATTTTTTGTTGCTGTGTAACATTCAGGATGGATATTTTGATGGAAAACATACCTAGTATTGAATTGAGGATTATTTATTAGTATTTTTTTTCTGTCTTCCTTTCATTATATGAGGGGGAAAGAGAGGGAATATTCAGATTTGGTGTTTAATGTATGAAAAGATCAATTTTACTAAAGGGCCAGAGATTGCAAGTCTGGTGCTAGTTTTTTACAGAATTACAGTGGAGCATCAGAGTTGTAAAAGTTATCTTAGTTTACAAAAGAAAAATGGGGTAAAAGATTAACAAAATAATGAAAACAAATGAAAAAGAGGAGTGGTCCTAGGGAAGGTGGGCAAAAAATGGGATTGTAGTTGTACTGAACTCTGAAGATCTGGAGGAGGAGGAGAGAACTACCTAGACATGCACAAGAAGACCCAGAGAAATATAGGGGGTTAGTTCTCTATACCTGTGAAGTAAAAGGAAAGTTGCCATATATACAAGATTTGAAAATTATTTTACAAATATTTCATTTACATGTACATAAAGATCACCCTATTTTACGCACTACTTTGGAATTTAAAAAAATAATTTCCTAGTGTATTAACCCAGTCACGCCGGGGTACATTTTGTAGCCCAAATTAAAAAAATCCGGGAAGCTACAAAATCGGCGGGCGGAGCTTCCCCGGAGTCTGTCCGCCGCCGGCCGCCGCCGCTTTTGCCGCGGAGCACGGCTCCGAGAAGGCATCGCACTGGCGGGCAGCCCAAAACTGTTTATTTTTTCCTTGTGTCTCATATATGTGACACCCGGGATGGATGGGTTAAATAAACTGGAATTCTTACAACCAAACTAAGAAAGTCAAGTGTTTTGAGGTTGGGAGATAGACAAGCTGGAGTGTTTGTCATTCTTAGATGTTAAGGGGACCATGTGGTAAAGACATAATTGGTGATTTTAGCATTTCTGAAATCATGAACATTTATAAACTTTATCCCTTTGAAAATATCTATTAGGCTAGCAAGTGTCTTCTTGCTGAGCCATTTACTTTTCATAGGATTAACCCTAATATGTTTACCACCTGAAATACATGTTTTAGGGTTATGTTATAAAAGGGCTTATTTCCTTGTAGATTTTTTAAATACATATATATATATATAGATATAGATATATATTTAAATATTGTTTAGAATTTTAATTAAAGTGATATTTAGAAAAAAATAAATCTTATATACAAGGCTGGAAAAAATTTGAAAAGAAAAGAGCCCAATGAAAAATACTATTTGCTCTTTACAGAACATTGGTTTCAAGTATTTTCAAGATACAGGGGATCTCTGTTATTTGTCATTAATATAGACCAGAAATACACAACAAATAGCAGTACACCCATAGGAATGCATTATGAATGGGAGTAATGTAAATCATAGTATCCTTTAGTTTGCTTCAGCATATATTCTTGAAGTATATTTTGAGAGTGATACTAAAATGAGAAGTACAACATTTTTATCTAAGAAAAAGAAAAGTTAATACAAAAGAGAAATGCAAAAATTGGCTGTAGTTTGGAGGTTTTGTGCCAGAGTGTGGCGGAGAAGACAGGAAAGAGGTTTGGCTATGCACAAGTAGATGAGAGAGGACCATCACCATTTACATCAGCCAACTCCTGGTATACATGGATGGGTTAGGATCATGACACATTCCTCATGTTTGATATAATGCTGTTTAAGTGCCCAACATCAGCTTCTCGTTCCTTACTTTTATTCCTTTTTTTTTATTATTCACATAATACTTGTTTCGCTTTGGGTGGGCTTGCAGCAGAAATTATTCAGTAATGGGTTTGGAAGATAGATCACATTATCCCCTAGCTGACAGGTGGCTTGTACGTACATACCATGGCTGTTGTGGACTCAAAAACGTATTGTGCCCATTCCTGCGCCATTGTCTCATTGGACAGAGTTTGTTTTTCTGCAGTAGTAGTGGCTTCATTTATATGGTAAAGATATTTTTTAGGCAATGGCACCTATAATGAAGGTAACCTTCAAAATTATGATATTTTGATAAATTATAGCAAAATAAAAGTTTTTGGGTGCCAAATGTCACTCGCAAACTACCAAATGAGCCAGGCACAAACAGGGAAAACTGCTGATTCATGCCAACAATCCCATTATTACGTCCGCTTACCAAACATTTTTACCGACGGTCCATTTGGAAGCAGATAATCAGTTTCCGAGCAGTATCAAAATCAGCACCTGGGCCAGTCCGGGAACCGGCCCACACACCGCCCACCACGGGTGACAAAATCAGAGCGCAAGCTCCAGTCTTGTGTCACACTGGTGGGATAGCCAGCAATGTTTATTTTTCCAGGTGTCACAAATATGTGTCACCCATCGCAAGTGGGTTAACACTTAACAGCAGCTTTCTGTGTGCTGGTGTAGAGGCATCAGCCTGTTTCGGTGGCTGGAAAGTGGGCACATAATGTGCATGTATACTGCACTGTAGTTCTTGTTAACAGGGTGCACAGAAATTTAGATTTTTGTGCACCCTGGTACATGTATTCATATTCTGGAAATCATGCTCTTATTTTATATTTTCCTTATAGTTACAACTTAGATACTGTTAATTATTACTTTTTAGATTCTTATATGCCATATGTGTATAAACTTTCAGAACCCTAAATGACAAATGAGTGAACTGCAGTCACCAATAAATCAGCAAAACATCTGTATTGAAAGGGTGAAATAACAAATAAGGGTGCGATGAATAACAGGGATCCCCTTTATCTAATAACTTCTAGTCTTAAATACCTACAAGCTTCCTATGTCCCCAGTGGATTTTTAACAGTTTCTTTACTGCAACAATTATCCTTCCCTGGAATCATGTTTACTGAAAAAAACAATTGCATAAGACGATGTGTATGCCTTAACCTTTTGTGCTGATTTGTGTCTCCCGAGAGTAGTTCTATTACATTCATGGTAGGGTTACATATGCTTATATGTACATGTGTCATAATTTTAGGGGACCATCTGGTCATTTTTCGGCATTTTTCTCCCATCTTGCTGAAATCGAGTTTAATGCATTTTCAAGGAGTTTCAGGGCCTCCAATTCTCCCCTGAACAATTCAAGGCCCGACCGTTATTTTTTAGGTGGTAGCAGCCATTTTCGACGTCAACTGAAATATTATTTTTTTCACGTTACCTTAGAAAATCGGCAATTGTTACGCAATGATTAGAGATAATAAGAAAATGAGATTTTTTTCTGAAAGCTTATTAAATTTCACAGAAGGTGAGACCAACCCTCATTTTTTCGGAATAATTTTTGAAATGTGGCAAGTGTCCAAGAAACGGTAATGAAGAAATTTTTCATTCAAATAAACATATGCCGTTCATATGGAGTATTTTATCTTCTTTGTTTTCATCATACATAGTTTGATCTATAAGCAAAACATTAGGCTGAGCCAAACCTGTTCATAACTTTTGGAGTTGGAAAAATAAATCCTGGATCCAAACCATGGTCCGCATCACCACCAAAGTTCAATAAGCATCCAAGTAAGGTTAAAACACACCTTTGGTTAAAATCCCATTAAAATGTGTTCATGATTTTTATATTTATGTTTATATCCCTTATATGCATACTTTTACATCGCGCTGTAATTGCATTTCATCCTTTAACGCCAGTATTCCGCAAGTGCAAAGAAATGTATTTCATGGATCGGCGATGCCCGGCCGTGCTGAGAAATGGACATGTATGATACCCGTCTGCCTGGAGAACAGTTATTTTTTCGACCAATATTGTATGTTGTAAAATCCCATAAGAGGAACAATAATAGGTAAATAATAGATAATTATATCATATACAGATATTTCGTATATGATTTGTCATGTAAAATGTATGAATAATGCAACGTATTATGGCTCATTTTGTAGCTGAATAATCAATATATTACATGATGCTATGAGGATTTGCAATATTTTCATGTGCTTCTTATAAAAGTAACATGCATTTTCAAAATCTCCTCATAGGGTGTTTTTACAGTCACCTTCGGAAAATATTCAAAAAAAAAAAAAAAAAAAAAAAAAAAAAAAAAAAAAAAAAGGTTGACTTCTCAAAAATGTTATATTATTTTGTTCCAAATTTTTTTTTGCAATTTTGCCTTTGCTTCTTGTAAAAGTGACAAACGTCAGAAGGTTTTTCACTCTTTTGATTTTCATGAGGTAGCCTACTTCAAAAATTCACCAAAAAAGAAAGCAAAAAAAAAAAGAAGAAAGGAAGTATTTTGAACAAGTTGTAGCTATAAGATAGTTCTGTACAAAAATCAAATCAAATTTAATGTTTTATCGTTTTTGAAGATGGGAGGATTTCCACCCTTCACTCAATTTTATTATTATTATTATTATTTTTTTTTTTTTTTTGGGGGGGGGATTTTTTTTTCTTTCTTTTTTTTCTACAATAATTCAAAAACTGTTTGGGAGATTAAAAAAAAAAAAAAAAAAAAATGACCACAGGCAATGGGAAGGGGTCTAAATAAAAGGGTGCAAGTTTCATCAAAATCGGCAGGAAAATTTGGAAAAAAAAGACGGGGTCCTTTATTATTGGTTTATTCACAATACTGATAAAGAAATATATTTTAATTTTTTTTGTTTTTGTTGTTGTTATCATTGAATTATTGTTATCACCATCTTCATCATCTCTATTATTATTATTTATTGATTTATTTTTTTATTCATTATTTTACATTTTTATTTGTTTAGAGTGCTAGAAGGAATTCCTCAGATGTTTTGTCATCATTTTGTATAAGTTTTATGGGTAACAGAGCCCACAGTATGAATTATAGTTGTATATATTATTTACTTCAGTAAAGTTTATTTTCTATTTTCAAAGCTGCCATGTTAAAACCAGAAAGAGGGTAGATCACACAGGAAAAGTGTGTTTGTAGCTTTTCCATGTCTTTCTGCCTCTTTAGAGGTCAAACCAGAACTCTATTTCAAGAATTTTGCCAGGGCTTCATGTAATATTGTCATGGCATTCAAAAAGTCACTTTTGAAAATGCCAGATTTTGGATTTTTATCACAGAAACAGATATTGGAAATAAGGCTTTGTTCCAACCTTGCATAAGTGTTTACTATTTGGGAAAGAAAACTTAAAGGCTCCATCTTTAAATAAGTGACCTTATATTTTCTTCTTCTTTTCTATACCACACTTTCCTTTTTTTGAACCTCAATTTTATCACTTTTTTACCATAATTACTAAATTATTCAGGCAACTGCTAAAACCACTGGTTCTCAACCTGATGCACCCCAGTCACTCTGTGAGGAATATCCTTGTTGCTATGCAACTGCTGTTCCTTTGCTCTTATAGTTGATGGTTTCTGGAAGCTTATACTAACTGAATTTAAACTGTTAAAAGTTAAATACCTTATTAACCCATTTACGACGGGTGTCCCGCTGGTGTGACACTGTATTGGGGCTCGCGCTCCAACTCAACAGCGGGCCGCGGCCGGCGCGCAGGCAGAGTCTGGGCCAGTCCCACGCACAGATTTTGTAGCTGCCCGGAAACTTTTATTTTCGGCTTCAAAATATACTGGCGTTAGTGCTTGAAATAGATTTTGAAATTTATTCAACTTAAACAACTCTTTAGAACAGAGAATTTTATATAAAATAAAGTATGTAAATGTTTTATATTTTGTGTACATTTATGCACTACAAAGTGTAGTTTATGATTTCAACTTTAATTATTTTTTCTTTATTGATTGATTTATATTCTAACCCATTGCTGCAGGGTACCTATTCTGTCAGTTGTAGTTTTCTCTTGTGAATTTTGCTTGCACATTAATGGGTCTGGAAGTGCTAGGCCACCAAGAAACCAATTAATAGGCTTAATGATCTTGCCTGATTTCCCCTTTCTGAGAAAAAAAAAAAAAAAAAAAAAAAAAAAAATCTGATAATTTTAATGATGATTTTGATATTACTGTTAATGACATTATGACAATTACAATGTTATTACCCTATTGGATCTGGTTATGTTACAGCAATCACATGGTAAACATGTGAGTGTTGTGTTTGTGCACAACTATATTTCATTGGTATTCCACATACTAACCTGCAAGGTGTAAATATGTTGCTATAGTTAATCCTCTGTGGTAATTCCATGTTCGTCGCCAACTTTATAATGTTGGATCTTCTTATAACCTTCTATAATTTGGTTAATTATACACGGTCTTGTAAGATGCTGCTTGTTTAATTAAGATCTTGTATGGAGAAGGATTAGTAGTCTACGTACGTGCTGGTTGGTGGCGCATGTACATAGAAAATGTATTGTAAGGGGTAACTTAGATATAGTGTTAGTAATACCGTGATACATTGTATAAAACTAAATAGGAACTATATAATTAATCTGTGTACATAACAATGAGCAATGGGTTATGTAAATGGCCGTTCAGCTGGGCGTGTGGTGCGTAGGCCGAGCATATGTGAACACTCTTGAGCTGTGACAAAACTGCCCTTCCCCTTTGCAAAGTTATTTGGTGTAAACCTTTTCTTTTTTTGCCATTGTCCAATGTCCATATTTGTCTTTTGATATGATTTTTCCAGATGGTAATAGATTATTATCCTTAACCCATTTACGCCGGTTTATTTTGAAGCCAAAAATAAAATATTCTGGGTGGCTACAAAATCGGCGGGTGGAGCTTCCCCGGAGTCTGTCAGCCCGCTGGCCGCGACCCGCTGCTGCGTTGGAGCGCAAGCCCCGATACAGCGTCACAATGGCGGGACACCCGGCAGTGTTAATTTTTTTGGGTGTCTCTTATATGGGACACCCGTCGCTAATGGGCTAATGGGTTAATTAGAATCTTATGCATATTTATTTTCTAATTGCTTTTGATTTCTTTGCTCTTCTCAATTATTTGTTTGTCTGGATTAGAATTTAATTTTTTCTTCATTTCCTTAGCAGATTATAACACACCAGATTAGCAGTGGGGGAGCAGTCCGCAATATTTTGTCCAGTCCACAGAAAATTGTAATCAAGAGCAATGTTCCTCAGCCTGGCCAGGTAAGTTAACCAAAGCATCTCACCAAGTCTTTGATAGTGTGTTGAACGTGTAGGCAAGAATGTTTGCAAAGTGTCCAAATCATAGTGATAGAAATACAAGTGATTAAAAAGTGTAATCTAAGATTTAATTTTGTTATCAACAGGGATCAGTAAGCACTGTCAGAGCAGGGCAGATTGTGACCTCTGGAGGACAGCAGGTCATCAAGATTCCTGCCAGCCAGGTGCAACAACTAACAGCTCAGCCACAGAATGTACAGATGTTTTCAAATCGGGTGAGCTATTCATCTTGATTATGATATAGAAACCAGACTGAGAACAAAGCTTAACTGACTTTCATGAATGGTGGTTTGTACACTGTAAGTGAAAAGGGTGTTGAAGTGCTTTGATATTTGTTTTCCTCTTGATCCTTTTAAGATATTCTAATTGAAATACCTACATGTACAGATGAACTATGTGAGATTAGTGAGTCCAGGAGTGGGTGGAGGGGGCAGTGGAGGAGGGGGAGGGGGAGCAACACTCATCCGACCAACACCACCCACCAACAAGCCCATTGCCCCAGCTGCATCTCAGCCTATTAAGATAAAAGCAATGCCTATTGCACCAAGTCAACAGGTACGATGGAAAATATTTTTCAGTTGTTTATTAAAATTCATCAGTTGCACAGGATATGGAGGGAAGACTCCCTTTAATTGCTATAGCTTAATAAATGAAATGCAATGTATTGATAATCAGTGTATTGTAATAGAAGTTTACTGATATGGTAAATTAGGGAGTCCAGTTATATGTTAACTATTTGGGTATCTGAAATGGGCAAAAAAATTGTTTGCAAAAGGAAAACTTCTGAACAAGAGAGTTCAGTATGAAAAAGATGTGATTATCTCAGCCAGTCCTAACTTGCTATGCATTTTTCCTGGCCACGAACTTCATTGCCGTTGTTCTTCCTGTTTATATAATTTATAATCATACTTTTGAGGGCTCAATGAGTTTTCAATGAAAAAAAGAAAATTTATGATATCTGACAAATGGTGCATGTATATAGAAATACTAAATATCATTCCATAATTTATCAGGTATTATGAAACTATCTAATGGGTAAGAGAAATTTTGCATGAGGAATTTTCATGACTTCATTTTGGTTAAAAGTTCTTGGCAACCATTTTGCTTTGAGGACTAAAATTAGTTTGTGTGTCTTTTCTTAAGTTAGGAAGAACAAGCAATATCTACTGCACCCTTTTTTCATATAACTGTATATGTTCAACAGCCCAGTAAACAGCGGGTGATCATCCCAGTGTCTGGTTCTGTGCCAACTGCCAGTGTTGGTGGTAGTGTTCCCATACGTCCTCAGACAGCAAGTCTTACCTTGCCGGCCTCAGCTCTTCCCCCTGGAGTCCTCTCCAACACCCAGCCTGGCTCTGTGGTCATGATTCCAGCCCATTACATGTCTCAGGTAAGATAAAATGTAAAAATTGATTTCCTGAAATTGAGGATTTTCAGCAAAAGATTGTTAATATATTAAGGATCTGTTTTTTAAAATTAATGCACTATTTGTATGAAAGTTGAATTCCTGTTTTAAAATTAATATAAGTAGTTTTTAGTAAGCTACTGCTAAACTAATGACATTTTTATTTAAACAGCTACAGTCAAATACAACAAATAGTGCAACAGTCCAGATGTCAAGCCAGCCAGCCCCGGGTACAATAATTCCACCCCCAAAGCCACAACCTCCACGAACAGTAATAGATGCAAATGGAATTAGACCGAGAAAGCCATGTAACTGTACAAAGAGCCAGTGTCTTAAACTGTAAGTCCATTTTCCTTACTGAATCTTTAGGGGGAGGATATATAGGCTTTATATATAAAAAAGTTTGAAGAAAATGCCTGTTAATATTAGTTTTCAAGATTTGAACTACTATTATTTAGAATGTCCTCACATGCACCATACACACATGTGCATAAATTGACTGGTAAATTTATGAAACTATGCATATTTTTTTTACCAAAGTTTATCTCAGCAGTCATATGAATGACATAAATAAAATTGACTTTGTTACAGATCAAAACATTTGACAAGCACTTTATAATATCTGTTCACAGATTTGTAGTAGAAACAAGATATCTCTCTCATCTATTTTTTTTTTTCCATTCCCACCAGTTACTGTGATTGTTTTGCAAATGGTGAGTTTTGCAATAACTGCAACTGTGCAAATTGTTTCAACAACTTAGCTCATGAAGAAGACAGACAAAAAGCAATCAAGGCTTGTCTTGATCGAAACCCTCAAGCTTTCCGACCTAAAATTGGAAAAGGAGGCAGTGATAATGAACGAAGACACAACAAAGGGTGTAACTGCAAGCGTTCGGGATGCCTCAAAAATTACTGTGAATGTTACGAGGTGAGTATTATTGCACTGTTGATTTCTCATCCCATTTTGTGGTCCAGAGATAAATGTATACTAGATTTGTTTTGAAATTTTTAAGAGAGTAAAATGTATACTTCCAGAAAATATTATCATGTGTTCAATTTTAATGGTGAATGCTCAGGTTAACACAATAGATATACACATGTATTGAAAAAACATCAGTGATGGTTTCTGGTAATTGAATGAATCTGAATCTGTTTTTTATTCTTCCTTTCTCAGGCCAAAATTCCCTGTTCTAATATTTGTAAATGTGTTGGTTGTAAAAATGTTGACGTGAACCCTGGTGTAGAAAGAAAGGGCCTAATGCAGTTAGCTGAATGCGCAGAGGCAAGAGTAAACCAGCAGAATGCTGTCAAATCCAAACTTCCTTCCTTCTCTCATCACTCTCCTACCAAGATGCTCTTCCCAACATCATCAAAGTAAGTTGTATGGAGCTAAAGTAGTGCACTGAACACATGAAGTGATTTTTTATTTTTCACTGTTATAAGTATGTTTGGTAACCTACAAAGTACTTGTGGGATAAATCAGTAACTGGAATGTGTGCATTAGGAATGGTTTAAGCCGATGCATCTTTTTAGGACCACCATTATCCTCTCCCCTACCTCTTCCCCACCTAAACAGGCCGCCAAGTATTAAAAAAATATTAAAAAATAATGTGGAAGTAAAAATAATGCCATTGCACTGGTTTTTAATTGTAGAAAAATATATATTTTGAAGAACATATGTTGCCAGATGTAAGATGATCCCATTTTCGGTTATGGTCGGTAACGTGAATGCAGCTTTCCTTACAAGAAATATTTGATTTTCAATTTTCTAAATTGGACCGAAAAAATATAATTTGCTCAGCTCAGAGAGTACAAATGAATACCTGCACATGATATGTGCATATATTCACGTGCATAATATATGGATATCTGCACGCACAACCATATATTACATAAATACTCACTCGGGCAAGAATATGCATGCATGATAAAAAATGTCTTTCTCTCTCTCACACACACTCACACATATACACATAACCAGACACACACACACAATCCCCCCCCACACACACACACACCCCCCACACACACAACCCCCCCCACACACACCCCCAACCCCCACACACACACAACCCCCCCCACACACACACCACAACCCCCCCCCCCACACACAACACATGCACACAACCTCCCCACACACACATGCACACAACCCCCCCACACACACACACACACCCCACACACCACACATACAACCCCCCTACACACACCCCCCCCACACACACAACCCCCCACACCCCACACCCCACACCATACATAACTGCCCACACACACAACATACACAACTGCCCCCCCACACACACACACCCCCCTCCCACACACCACAACCCCCTCCCACACACACACAACCCCCCCCCACACACTCCCACACACACATACAAACTGCCCCCCCCACACACACAACCCCCCCCACACACACACAACCCCCTCCACACACACACACAACCCCCTCCACACACACCACCCAACACACACACAAACTGCCCCCCCCACACACACACACAACCCCCCTCCACACACACACAACCCCCCCCCACACACACACACAACAACTCCCCCCCCACACACACACAACCCCCCTCCCACACACACACAACCCCCTCCCACACACACAACCCCCCTCACACACAACACACAACCCCCCACACACACACACACACACACCCCACCTCCCACACACACACACACACCCCCCTCCCACACACAACCCCCTCCCACACACAACAACCCCCTCCCACACACACACAACACCCTCCCACACACACACACATCTCCCTCCCCCACACACACAACCACCCTCCACACACACACATCTCCTCCCCCCACACACACATCTCCCCCCACACACCACACACCACACACACCACATCCCCCCCACACACACACAACACACACAACACCACACACACCACACACACAACACACACAACACACACACACACACACACACACAACACACAACGCACACACACACACACACACACACACACACAGCACACACACACACACCACACACACAACCCCCCTCCCAACAACACAATCCCCTCCCACACACACACAATCACACACACCCACACAAACACACACAATCCCCTCCCACACACACACAATCCCTCTCCACACACACACACACACACACACACACACACACACACACACACACACACACACACACACACCCACACACACACACACACACACACACACACACACACACACACACACACACACACACACACACACACACACACACACACACACACACACACACACACACACACAAAAACCCCCTCCCACACCACATAACCCCCTCCCACACACAACACATCCCCCTCCCACACACACACAACCCCCTCCCCACACACACACACAACCCCCCTCCACACACACACAACCCCCCTCCACACACACACAATCCCCCTCCCACACACACAACCAACCCTCCCACACACACACAACCACCCTCCACACACACACAACCACCCTCCCACACACACACACCCACACACACCACCCTCCCACACACACACAACCACCCTCCCACACACACACAACCACCACTCCCACACACACACATCTCCACACACACACACATCCCACACACACACATCCCTCTCCACACACACACACACACACATCTCCTCTCACACACACACACACACACACACACAACCACACACACACACACACCAACAACCACACACACACACACACACACACACACCACACACACACACACAACCACACACACACAACCACACACACACACACAACCACACACACACACACACACACACACACACACACACACACACACACACACACACACACACACACACACACACACACACAACACACACAACACACACACACACACACAACCACACACACACACACAACCACACACACACACACAACCACACACACACACACAACCACACACACACACACAACCACACACACACACACACCACACACACACACACACAACCACACACACACACACAACAACAACACACAACACACACACCCACACACACACACAACAACACACACACACACAACACAACACACACACACACACACACACAACAACACACACACACAAACAACCACACACACACACAACACAACCACACACACACACGCAACCACACACACACACAACCACACACACCACACCACACACACAACCACACACACACACAACACACCACCACAACACATCACCCCCTCCCACACACACACACACATCTCCCCTCCCACACACACACACAACCCCCCTCCCACACTCACAACAATCCCCCTCCCACACACACACAATCCCCCTCCCACACACACACAATCCCCCTCCCACACACACACAATCCCCCTCCACACCACACAATCCCCCTCCCACACACACAATCCCCCTCCCCACACAACACAACCCCCTCCCACACACACACACAACCCCCACACACACAACCCCCCCCCGCACACACATACATGCAACACAAACCCCCCCCACACACACACACATACAACCCCCACACACACAACCCCCCACACACACACACACAACCCCCCACACACACAACAACCCCCCCACACACACACAACCCCCCCACACACATACAACCCCCCCCACACACAACAACCCCCCACACACACATACACACCCACACACACACACACACCCCCCCACACACACAACCCCCCCCCACACACACACAACCCCCCTCCCCACACACACCAACACACACCACACTAGCACACTCCCACACACACCAACCCCCCTCCACAACCACACACACACAACCCCCCTCCACACACACACACAACCCCCTCCACACACACACAACACACCCCCCTCCACACACACACACAACCCCCCTCCCACACACACACACCCCCTCCCACACACACACAACCCCCCTCCCACACACACACACAACCCCCCTCCCACACACACACCCCCTCCCACACACCACACACACACTCCCACACACACACAACCCCTCCCACACACACACAACCCCCTCCACACACACACACACACACACACACACACCCCACCACACACAACACACACACACACAACCACACACACACACACAACAACACACACAACCACAAAACACACACACAACCACACACACACACACAACCCACCACACACACAACCACAAACACACCACAACCACACACACCACACAACCACACACACACACACACACACACACACACACACACACACACACACACACACAACACACACACACACACACACACACACACACCACACACACACACACACACACACACACACACACAACCACACACACACACACAACACACCACACACACCACACCACACACACACACACACACACAACAACACACACACACACACACAACACACACACACACACACAACACACACACACACAACCCCTCAACACACACACACAACCCCTCTCCCACACACACCAATCCCCTCCCACACACACACACCAACACCCTCCCACACACACACAACCACCCTCCCACACACACACACAACCACCCTCCCACACACACACACAAACCACCCTCCACACACACACAACCACCCTCCCACACACACACACACCCTCCCCACACACACACACACACACACACACCACACACCATCCTCCCCCTCCCACACACCACACACACACACACACACACAACCAACACACATCTCCCTCCCCCCCGACCACACACACACACAACCCCCCTCCCACCACACACAACAACACACACCACACACACACACACACAACACACACACACACACACACACACACACACACACACACACACACACACACACACACACACCCCCCCCACACACACAATCCCCCTCCCACACACACGCACCCCCCTCCACACACACACCCCCCCTCCCACACACACACAACCCCCCCACACCACACACCCCCTCCCACACACACACACAACATCCCTCCTCCCACACACACACACCCCCCTCCACACCACACACACACAACCCCCCTCCCACACACACACAACCCCCTCCCACACACACACAACCCCCTCCCACACACACAACAACCCCCCTCCCACACACACACAACCCCCCTCCCACACACACACAACCCCCCTCCCACACAACCCCCCTCCCACACACACACACACACCTCCCCTCCCACACACACACACACACAACCACAACACACACAACCACACACCACACACACACACACACACACAACACAACACACACACACACACACACACACACAACACACCACACACACACACACACACACACACACAACCCACAACACACAACAGACACACATAACCACAACACACACACATAACCAAACACACAAACATCACAC